TACCCCCAAATATAATCCACTCTGCAACCCTCATTGCATACTCCTACGATAAAAATAATGCCCTAAAATATAATACTTTTAGACTATTCTCTCCCCCATAAACGTCAATGCCGTAAACATATTTCATCCAGTTTTTCTTAGTCTTACCCCCACCCCAATGCCAGCCTCATTCTACAACAGTGGCACCATAATATTCCCAGTAGTATAAAAGCTTTCCACAGTGGTTGCACCATTTTACACTCCCACCAACAGTGAATAAAGGTTCCAGTCTCTCCACAACCTTGCCAGATAGCTTAAACTTTTATACTCTACCCTGAAAATGTACCAAGTTCTAAAATAATGAACTAATATATTCCTTATCATTTGTTATTCCATCCATATCATACCTAGTTCTGTCAAACTCTAACAGTTTGTCTTTATGCTTGACAGCCTTCTCTAGGCCAGACTTAATTCGAGACTCCTGATGAGGAAGAAGATCTTTGGGAGAGATATCCACCTTTCCGGAATTCTCCATCCCTAAAATTCAACAAGGAAATTGAGTGGTGTCAGCCTACAGTACAAAGTTGGTTGTATCACTGTTCAACAAACAAAGCATCAGCAGATCTGATTCTGCCCCTGATGCCCTGGAACCTTCTCTTCAATGGAAAACAAACAAGTACATTGGTCAGGCTTTATTTACAAAGCATCAAGTAGAGCTTGACAATAAGTTTTCAGCAAAGTTAATATCCTTTTCATCTCTTAAGGAAATTTTGGCCACAAAAGATACCAAATTATTTAACAACACAACATAAAAATGTCACATAAATGAAATGTACTAAGTATGGCTGAATATTACATAAGTATAACTTTATATATCAAAACTATTAGAAGGGAAAAAAACAAAGAAGACATTTCAAAAGCAAAAAATTAATAGTTAATGAGAACCTAATAGATGCTAGTGCAGAATAAATGCATTATAATATTTCTCTCTCTCCATAACCCTGTAATACAGTTTCTATTTTCTTTGTCTAATGTTAATAAATGTATTAAGTCTACTCAGTCAGAAATTAGATGGTAGAAATGAAATGTGAATCCAGGTTTAATTGACTCTAAAGTTCACATGCTTTCACCACCCATGTACTATATTCTCTGTAACAAAATACCATGAAACAATATATTCTTAAAAAAAAGGACAGTCTATTATGATAAAACCGAGGTCCAAAAGTCTTAATAAAAACTAGGCTATAGTAAAGGCTGGTCTTTTCTTTACTTATAACAAGAAATTGATTCAAAATTTTATCAAGTTATTTTTTAAATTTTTGGGGGGATAGAGGCTATTCTACTGTTTTAAGTATATAAAAGCATCTATAACTTACCTCTTATGATAACTGTCTTTTTTTTAGATTTTATTTTAATAACATTAATGAACATTTACAGAGATTTGTATTTCCATACATTCATTGTTGCACTTGATAATTATCTTTTAAAAACCTACGTTGAAGAACTATAGAGACATGTTCAAGATCACTAATAATATAAAGAATTATAACTATAAAAAACAAAATGTCAAAATTCAGGGATGTCATATTTTTGGGTACATTATTAATATATCTTTAGAATGGTACAGTATTTTCATAAAGTAATTTTGCAAAGATCTCTCAAATACAAAATGACTATATTTTTTAAATTGATAAAGCAATAAGGCATTTACTTCAAGGAAATGAATGAAAAAGTATATTAATAAAGATGACCATTTATGGTATAATTTATCACTAAGAAAAATTTGAAAATCAAAACATCCAATAATAGAGAAAATAATCAAATGAATAGGGTAATTTTAGTCATCAAAAGCAATAAACAATAAATGTAAGTCAACAACATAGAAATAAATTAAGAAATATTGATTGAAACAAAGGAAAAACATAAAATTCTGTACATCATGATTGCTACTTCATAATATTTTTCAATCTATATTATTTTTTTAAATGCTCCAAAACTATGAACTAAAGCAGAAACAAAATTAAAACCTTTTCTTAAGTAGATAGAAATGTTATTTTTTCTTTTTAAAAATTCCCTCATGGAAACCGTAAGTCTCTGTAAATTCATTAAAATTAATAATTAAAAAAAATTTCTTCAATTATTCTCGGTGTTGTAAAACTGTTTTCTTATATTGACGTAATTTTTTTATAACTTTAGAAATGTTTTAAAGAGTTTCCAAACCAGTAATTGTCCCTGTAAAATCTCTATCCAAACAAAAAACCAAAACTCATCATTGTCAAGTCAGTTTCAAGCTTCCACTAAAATTAGTATCTTTCTAGCATATTTCTGGAGAGCAGGAGTGTCCCAACCAGCAGGATGCTGCTAACATAAAGGCAGTGCCTCTCTGGAGAGACGGATAATTTCTTCCTGTGCAATTTAGAGCCTCAGAAACCTAGCTATGAGCCAGTTCAGATTAAATAGCAATGAGGATTTTAAAAGTCATTCAAAGTAACATTTTTTTTTAATTATTTTTGCGTGTGTGTACCGTCAAATAGGATCTGACTGGTACAGGAGGAGATTGTCCCTCCTTTCCCGGCAGAGCATCTGGTGGATTTGAACCGTGCGCCTCTGGGATTGCAGTGCAGCTTCTTGCCACTAGGCCACCAGAGCTCCCCTCAGAGTAACATTATTAAAACTAAGAAAATTTGACAGTAGTACAATACTATTTATTAACTGCATATTAATACCAACATTTACATTTTTTTATTCCAGGATCCAGTTCAAGATCCTACTGAGTTGTTAAAGTCTCCATGTTGTGGTGTGTGCAGTTGAGTCAGAACGAGTCATAGGTGACCCGCCAGCAGGTTTTCAGAGGCAGTAAATCCCACAGAAGGACACTGCCTATCCTTCTGCCACAGAGCAGCTGTGGTGGATTTGAACCACATGTCTTTGGAATTTCAGCACAGCTTCTTATGACTAGGCTACTTCCTCTAATCTGTCTTTCCTTGTGTTTCATGACTTTGCAAATCTGTTCTTAAACATTTACTCAATAACTTTTTAATCCATCTGTGTCTCATGCTTGCAGCAATTACAACTGTAGCTTTGTAATGATGATTTCTGTTACTCTTATTTCTTCTACCTTATTCTTTAGAATTCTTTTGAAAGAAAGAATTGTACTTTCTAATTTGTTAACTTATTCAATTAGTTATTTATATATGAATGCTATGGGTTAAACTTGTTAAAAAGATACTGAAGTCTAAATCCCAGGTAGCTATGAATAATACCTTATTTGCGAAAAGTGCTTTGGCAGATACAATTAGCTAACAGGAGGTCAGACTGAGTAGACTGGACCCTGATCTAATATGATTGGTGTTCTTATATGAAGAAACAAGATAGAGAAACACAGAGGCAGAAAGACATACAGACAGAAGAATGGAGTAAAGCTGTCCCAAATTAAAGAATATTAGGGCTCCCAGAAGCTGACAGGCAAGGAAGTACTCTCCATTAGGGCTTCTAGAGGGAGTAAAATTCACCTGACATCTTACCTTTTAGACATTTCACTACAAAACAGTGAGAAAATAAATGTCTGTTGTAATCCTTTGTTACCACAATCCTAGAGAACTAATATATGCGTATACTCTCAAAGATTTTTTTTTATTCTTTGGGTTGTAAGCCAATACTATTGGCTGTGTTGTTTTTTTGGGGGGGTTGCTGTATGTTTACAGTGGTTCAAATCCATGCTGCTCCTTCAGAGAAAGAAGGGCAGTCTTCGACTGTTGTGAAACCCAATGAAGGCTTGAAATGAGTTGGAACTGACTTGATGGCAGAAAATTTGAGTTTTATTTAGCTGTTATTTATTTTGTTGCTCAATGTTTTATGGCCTTAACAGTACATTTTTTTATTATTATTATTATTAATTTTAATGAAAAATTTAGAGACTTTGGATTTCCATTCATTCATTATTACTAACAGTACATTTTTAAGAATATAAATGCTTATAGAATAAATGAGTGAAAGAGCTACATTATGCACATCAGGATAAAGAAATAATCACAGATGTTTAACAAAGTGTACTCATCACTACAGTGATCCAATCAGAAGAATTTTGCATACCTGACATGAGCTTCTTTAGCAGTTTTTGGCTCTTGTTTGAGTCACGATGTATAATATCCTGTTCTTCACGAGTACATACCTACAAAGTAATAATGGTAAAAAAAACCCCAAGAATGCAATAAAGCTGTATTGTTAGTTTGATACCTAAAAATTTTTTTCCTATAATTATATTTTATTAATTTTCATAAACATTTACAGAGATTTTGGGTTTCCATTCATTCACTGCTGCACCCTTCTCTCTAACCTCCTCCCAGTTTGTTCTTGTCCAAATGCCACAGTGCTTGTCAAAGCCAGTTCTGATTAATCGTCTTTGTCAGTGTGTCCTTTGCCATTCCCTATCACTCCTCCCTGAGAGAGACTTCACCCTGAGTCATAAGGAAAGGGGATGGCGTATTCTCTTAGCTACTTCCTGCTGAAAAGGGACGCTGTGGGTTTCAGGGTGAAGATATTCTCTCACTACTCTAAAGGGCCCCTTTGGCAGTAGGAAACACATAGACTATTATGGAGATTGATTTTGGAATTTAGATGCACTCTTATTGATTGTGCTTGGCCATACATATTCATATCCTTGAAGATGTATCATGGGGGTGTCGCAACCTAGAAGACACAAATTTGACTAACAAGTTATAAGTACATGAGTCAAAAATTATGGAAAAGTAAAAGAAAAGATTCTTTCATTGTTCCACAAACTCCCCCCCCAGGTCCCCTCCACCATGCAGCCCTCGCTCTAGACTCCTGTGATGACAGAAACACCCAGTTATATATCTCTTTTAAACAGTTCCCTCCCTCCTCCGCCTCAGTGCAGCACACATCATTGAACCCATCTTACTCAGTCTCTCCCCAACCCCAAGGACAGTCCCATTCTACAACAGTGGCATCATGTAATATTTGTCCCTTTGTGACTGGGATATTTCACTCAGCATAATGTTCTCCAGAGTCAACCATTTTGAATAATATTGCATGAGTTCCTTGTTTTTTAATGCAGCATAGTATTCCATTGTGCGAATATACCACAGCTTCTCTAGCCATTCGTTTGTTGATGGGCACTTAGGTTGTTTCCAACTCCTTGCTATTGTGAACAAAGCTGCAATAAACACGGGTGTACATATATCTGCTTGGATGTCAGCTATGGTCTAAAACCAACTCAAGGTGGATCATGGACCTAGGACTAAAACCAAGGACTATAAACTTCATTACAGAAAAGCTAGGAACAACACTAGAAGTCCTAATCCACAACATAAACAGTCTTCCCAGTATCCTGGAAAACCTACAACCAGGAGAAGATAACATAGATGAATGGGACCTTCTAAGACTCAAATCCCTATGCACATCCAGTCACTTCTCCAGTAGGGTAAAAAGGGAAGCCACTGACTGGGAAAAAGTATTTGGTAATAACATATCAGATAAGGGACTTATATCCAGAATTTATGAAATACTTGAGCACCACAACAAGATAAAGGTAAATAATCCAATAGAAAAATGGGCACAGGATATGAACAGGCACTTCACCGAAGATGACATTCAGATGGCTAACAAGCACATGAAGAAATGCTCAAAATCCCTAGCCCTAAGAGAGATGCAAATTAAAACAACTATGCGATATCATTTCACCCCAGTCAAAATAGCAAAATTTAACAGAACAGCAAGCAACAAATGCTGGCGAGGTTGTGGAGAAACTGGAACCCTGATTCACTGTTGGTGGGAGTGTAAAATGGTGCAACCCCTGTGGAAAGCAGTATGGCGCTTTCTCAAAAAGTTGCAAATAGAGATACCATTTGACCCAGCAATTCCACTACTGATACCTAAAAATTAACCTCCAGTTAGATATTATATGTTAAGTCTGTTAGTGTTCTTTTATCTGGACAAAGGTACTAAAATATATACATGCAAATGAGTTGTGCCCTAGGTCTCTTTCCATTTCTTTCTTTTATGAGCCACAGAGTAAAACTGATCTCACTGTTAACTGTCCCTGGAGGACTTGATTGGTGGTGGTGGTGGGGGTTTGGTGGTGCAGAATCTAACCTACTCTTACAGATTTGCTTCTATTGAGAATACTGCTTTTTTTTTTATAAAACCTTCCCACTTCTAATCTTGAAGGCTAAGTCTTATAAATTATAAGCAGATGCATTGTAAGATAGAAAAAACAAAGCCAATTACAGTGCCAATCACTGAGAACCAGTATAGCTTTTATACTATATACTCTGTACCCTGGAGTATTATCTACTCGTAAAATAATATATTAAACACAGATTGAGCTTTATTATAAAATTACTGCCATTGTAAGGGGGGAAGTGGAGTATGGGCTGCTTAAAAATCCTTTCATGATGAGCTTGTAAAACTTTAAGACGTCAAGGCAAATCTGCTTTACATTACTATTTCTTAAAACTGAAGGATCCAAAATATTTACCACAAAACAGTGTACTTCCTAACGTCTGCCTCAATGGCACAGGAGTTCTTGCCAGCAGCTGTAAAGTATTTTTCTAGAGACAGTCCCATATGGGAAGAGACTTACCATCATTTCATGAAAATTTTTATTGATACACACTACATTTTTTTCAGGTCATCCACTGTCTGCCAGCTTATTCTTTAAGTATATGGGGCAGGGGATTAAGGGCCTCATTAAAGAAGAAGAGAAAATTAAAGCAATGTGAAATAGATGCCATCACCAACATAAAATGCTACTGCTTCTGCCAGCCAGCTCAACTGGCATTATAAGCTTTCTAGACAACTCATTAGTGTTTTTGTGAGAGAGTCATTAGTGATCCATTCTTCAAGTCATTCTCTCAGACAGAGCAGAGCTCTAACAGTGAGGTGTCCTGGAAACAAGCTGTAATGACCTGAGGATTATGTCACAGTGGCTCTGTTCCTCTAGGGATAGAAGCCACATCTGAAAGCTTTGACTAAATGTTTTGACATTTCAGGCCCCAAAGTTCTCCTGAATTGAACTTAATCCAATGCCAGAATTGAATCCCTCAGCAATGTATTTTCTAAAACTTTTCCCACTAAGAAGCCTTAGTATTAAGATAAAACCTGGAGTTTTTAACTAATCAAATTCCTGTGGAGCACACTGGACATCTTGAGGAAGAAATTTACTAAGAGAAATTACTAGGGTCTTGAATGACCCTATAAATTAAGAGATTTAAAAAACCCACCACAAAATTGAAATTCTGATTCTCAGTCAATTCCAACTCAAAGTGATTGTTTAGGTCAGATTAGAACTGCTCCTATAAAGATGTCAGGGCTCAAATTCTTTTCAGAAGAAGATTGCCACATCTTGCTCCCTCAGAATAGCTGGCAGGTGTAGAATATCCAGCTTTCAGTTAGCAGCTGGGCATTTTAACCACTGTGCCACTACGCTTCTCTATATGAACACAGTAACACAAAGCACAGTAAAAGAAAAAAGAAAGAAACCACTTACCAGAGAGCCACAGAATAAGCAGGGGCCAGAGCCCTCTTGTTCACAGACAATACGCCCACAAATCAAACAGTTATTGATGAGCTTGTGCTTCTGGCCCAGACAATCACAAGAGTGGCGACCAGGGAGCAGGACTGCAAGCCGGTCTTGTCCCTCTTTTGTGTATAAATTGACAAACTTTGTCTTCTTCTTTAAGGAGTTACTGTTCTCTTGTGCCTAATATAAAAAGACATCAGAAATAGCATCAAGCAACAAGGGACAATGAAAATAGTCAATGAAGAACAACTATTACTTCTCTGTCTAATAATTTATACACTTCCCAGGAACTAGGAAACAAGTTAGGAGAAATACAAGTTAATTATAAAAAGGACCTGAGGAAAAGTAAGGTTGTAATAACAAATAATTTATCTCTGTGTAGCTTTGAGCCCTCAACAATGGCTGGTGGAAGGTAAACACAGCAGTCAAAGACATACACTACATTTTGCACATGACAATTTAAAGCATGAAGCTCCGGTGGTGTAGTGTATAGGGCAGTGCCTTACTAATCTAAAAGGCCAGGTTTCTCTGGTGGTTTGAATTCACTAGTGGCTCAAAGGGTGAAATATAGTCAATCTCCTCCCATGTGATTTACAGCCTTGGAAATCAAATGAAGGGTCCACTATGACTTGGTTCTGACTTGACAGCAAAAGTGAGTAAACTTTTTCAGCACTGCTAAATTGGAGATCATAAGAAACAAGAATGTATCTAAAAATCAGATGATAAAAATATAAAAATAAATCACAGATTTGGAAATTTAGAAATACCAGTAAAGTAAGAAAAACCAATTAAAACTGACTCAATAGAGGGAGCTCTGGTGGCCTAGTGCCAAGAAGCTGCACTGCAATCCCAGAAGTATATGGTCCAAATCCACGAGATGCTCTGGTGGAGAAGGAGGGACAATCTCCTCCTGTATCAGTCAGATCCGATCTAATGGTACACACACACACACACACACAAAATAATAAAATAAAATTAAAAAAAAATTGACTCAAGAAGAAAAAGATCATAATTTTTTTTAAGATGAAAAATTTTAAAAATGGGTAAAAGACCTAAACAGGAATGGCCAAGAGACACATGAAAAGGGTTAAATTTCATTAACCATTAATAGAAAAAAAAATCACATTGCAACTGCCACACATTAGCCAGAATGGCTGAGTTGAACACTAGAAAATACAGAATGTTGGTGAGGAAACAGAGCAATTGAAATTTTCCCACAGCTGGTGGACATGTAGGGAGCTTGGTAGTGTAGCTTACAGGGAGCTGTGCTGCTCACCCAAAGGCTGCACCTCTCTGGTGGTTCTAATCCACCATAAATCAAACATGAGATTGCATTATCATGACTACATCATCAATCTTCCACAGAGTGGCTGGTGGGTTCAAACTGCTGACCTTTCAATTAACAGTTCAACAAATAACTCAACCCATGACCATGGCTTCCTTCATAGCCAACAGAAATGTTCACCAAAAGACAGGTGCAAGAATGCTCCATTGCAGCATCAAAATGAAAAACTATTCAAATGTTCAACAGTAGAAAAGATAAGATTCATTAAGAGGATTCTAATGTAACAATAAATGGAAAAGTGTATTTACTCAAAACAATATGGACAAAAAAACTCATAAACATAGCATTAATTCTAAGAAGCTAGGCACGAAATAATACATACAATTTATTTGCATTTATTAACACAAAGTTCATGAACAGGCAAAACCAGTCTACAGTGCTGGAAGTAAAGTTTTACTTCTATATGTCTATTGTAAAACAAACATTTTTCAAAGAATTCTAGTTATCAGCTTCTAACACTTCAAAGCTATAGGTGTTTCTCTTCAAAACCATATCACAGTCTTTTTCATTATTTTCCCTATAAATGAAGAGATTCACAATCATCCCATGAACTGGCATTTCAGAGAAGAAACTAACAGTTCTTGTGTATGATAGGGTTATTACAAGGAAGAGGTCTTTGGTAAGTAAAAAAAGAAAGGTAACATGTCCTAATGTCCAAAGTTGGAAAGTTAAAGTTCTCAATTAGCAATAATCACACTTCAGATAAACTGATTGGCTACGTTATTGCCACTGTGCAAAGCTCAAAGTTAGAAAGTTAAGATCCTCTCCCTAGACAATATCACATGTACCAGATAAAGTCAACTTAGATCAGAATGGAAACCTAAGAAAAGTGATAGGGATTATATCCTATCTAGCAGGTTGTGATTTTTCAAAATTAGTCAATAGTATCTTGGGCAGTTAGGAATGGTGGTGAGGAGATTTATAAACTCCAAGCAAAAGCTTTTCTTTTTACTCCCATTAAAGTATAAAGTATTAAAATAACAGATGTAAGAGATATATGTAAGAGATTGGGGCTGTGCTTTGATGAGGTCTATTACAAGTAAAAGGCAGTATTTACTGCATGAGAGAAGGAAAAAAGATAAACAGGAACATACATAGCAGATCATTCTGTGCTTAAAACCACTCACTGGTTTCCTGGAGCACGTAGAGTAAAATACAAACTACTTAAAATGGCCTACAAAGACCTACATCTGGCCTCTCAGGACTGTGCAACCTCACTGACATACCATTCTTCCCTTGCTTGCTCTGTTTCAGTCACACAAGCCTTCTGATACTTTCTCCAACACTCCCCTCCCCAACTGATCTTTCACACTGTTATTTCTTCTGAGTACAGTGTTCCTAGCCCCTAGCCCCGCGTTTCACATACTAGCTTCCTCTCAGCATTCAGATCTTAGCTACAATTTCACCCGAAAAACCTATCTAGACTAGTTCTCATCCTATCGCTTATTGCTCTTATTATTTCTAATGGTACTTTTAATAATATATAATTACCTTTTTCTTTTCTTTATCTTCTCTATCCTTCTTACGAACCACAAAATACAAATTCTAGGAGAACATGAAAACCTAATTTATTGATATATCTCTAATGTCTAAATCAGTGCTTGGCATATAGAAAACACCAATACAAATTTCTGGGTAATGAATAAATTATCTTTTGAAAATCAAGAAAGATTTACTTAGAGGTCCAAAAATGCAGCCCTAAATATATACAGGATAAGCCACCTTTTCAAACATTCCCCTCAAGCTTGTGTTTAATCAGAACACTCATCCAAGGACAAAATAAAGAATCATAAATAGGTTACTGACAACATACAAATATATTCAAAGTATTGGGAGACATGAAATGAAAATCATTATTAATTTAAAAATCTTTCCCCACGCAAATCAGTGATTTGAGTGGAACCTTGAGGGCAGTGAGTTGCTATCAATTGGGAAAGAACAGCTCAGAAAAGGAGAGTGAGAATTCTTACACAATTCAAAGAATACAGTCAATGTCACTAAATTTTACCAGTAAAAACTGGTGAATATGTTGTGCTGTATACTCTTAACAAAGTTTAAAATGTTTACTCTAAGTATCTACTGTATTATTTGTTATTCAATTAACTGTTGTTGTTATGTATAGTCAAGTCAGAAGTGGCCCAAGGCTGACCCTACAACAGATTTTCAGCAACAGTAAATCACACAGGAGAAGAATGCCCATCTTTCTCTTGCAAAGCAACTGGTGGATCTGAATCAAGGACCTTCACTTCGGGTGGACAGCACAGCTCCTTACCACTAGGCAACCAGAACTCCTCATTCTATTAATGGTCATTGTTAAAAAGAAAGAATAATACAAGGAAGAAAATTTAAAACAATGATTATATCACTAAAGAAAAAACACAACTGACATTTTCCTATGGCTTTTCTTATATAGTTATATGAAGGTGGTCTGTGCATTTGAAAGTAATCCTTGTATGGTGTTAACATTTAAACACTCATTCCTAACTGAGATGTTGTTGACCAAATGCAGCCAGTAGTGCTTCAGAGAGTAGGCTTCTGAAAGATCACGGCCTTGAAAACCTTGTGGAGTAGCTATGCTCTGCAACACAGGGTTGTCATGAGTCAGAATCAACCTGATGACAACTACCAAGGACTATGCCTATGATGCACATGACCGCGTGTGTGGGAATCCTTGATTCATGCTTTTCCACTTAGTAGTCTACAATGTGCATTTTCCAAAGCTATATATTTTGGTCAAGGACTGAAGCCTTCAGTATGGATTGAAGCTCAATGTCAAGAAGACAAAGATTCTCACCACTGGACCAACTGGCAGCATCAGGACGGATGGTGAAGAGATTGAGATTTTTAACAACTTTAGTCTGCTCGGCTCCATGGTCAACACTCTTGGTACCAGTAGCCAGGAAATCAAAAAACGTATTGCAATGGGAAAGTCTGCTGTTAGGAACCTCTCCAGGGTACTGAAGAGCAATGGTGTCTAACGGAGACTAAGGTGCGTCTGATACAGGCCATGGTGTTTGCAATCACTTGTTACGCATCAGAGAGTTGGACAATGACTAGGGAGGATAGACGGAGAATTGATGCCTTTGAGCTGTGGTGCTGGAGAAGAGTATTAAATGTACTGTGGAGTGCCAAGAAAACAAACAGATTCATCCTAGAGAGGGTTAAACCGGGCTGCTCCTTGGAGGCAAGGATTTTGGAGCTTCGTCTGACATACTTTGGACATGTTGTAAGGAGGGAGAGGTCCCTGGAGAGGGACATCATGCTTAGGAGGGTGGAGGGATAACGCAGGAGGGGAAGACCCTATATGAGGTGGATTGATTCAGTGATGGGGTAATTGGGATGGGTGTTTGTGTCGGAGGCTGTGCGATTGGCACAGGATAGAGCAGGGCTGAGGGCTGTTGTACATAGGGTCGCTATGAGTCGCAAGTGACTCGACGGCACATAAGAACAACAACAACATATATTTTGGAGAATAATTAAATTAGCTGCACTGTATTCCACCAAAGGAGGGAACATGTTTTAACTACTGTTGGACAATCAGGTCAGTACAATACTCAATAATATTAATACTACTATTATAATTTAAATTTTCTCTGTGCATTTAAGTTAGATTGCTAGAGGCAATATTTTACAAATTATACAAATGAGTATATGATCATTTCCTCAGTTCTGGGTGCATGCTACCAAACTACCTTACAGAAGGTTTAAATCAAATTTACATTCCACCAGTAACATAGAACAGGAGAGAACTGTTTCAGTACCTCTCAGAATTTAGTATTTTAATGTAAAAATCTTTGACAATTTAATTGGTACTATTCTCAATGATTTCATGTATATTTATTTGATTATTAGTATCAAGACTGGTCACATTTTTTCTGGGACAAGGGAGAGAGACTGTTTCCTTAGGAGACAAGATTAGGCCTTGTTTTTTTTTTTTTTTTAAAAAAGCCCCCACTCCAAGATTACAACCTTAAAATAGGGAAAAATCCTGTGCACAGCAAGACAAGTTGGTCATACTAATTATAACAACATTAAACACATTAAACATTTTTGTCTTTAGTAGTCATTTGTGTTTTCTTTCATGTGTAATAATTTTTGTTGATCTTTTTCCAATTAATAAAAAGCTTTTATCATTCTTTTGTTTCACTTTAACTTAACCTTTCTGTAAAAACAGTTTTCTCTGGTCATCACACACAGACTTTTTTTAGTTACTACATTTGCATTTTAGCTTCATTAATTGGCCCTCTTCACAGAAATTTGTTCTTGTTGTTGTTCTGTACTGTAGAGTTGGAACCAACCCATAGCTGACCCTCCAGTGGGTTTTCAGAGGTAGTTAATTATAAGGGAACAGAGCACATCAAATTGTCATGATTGTAAGTATAATTCTGCTCATCCCACAGCATTGTCATAGAAGTCAAAAGAATGTGAAAAAGTTTTTAAACTTAATTAAGATGATGGTGGTGGTGGTGGAGACTGGCCCAAAATAGGAACACTATTAACATATATATAAACATACAACAATTATTGAACTGAAGGGCTAGTGTCCTTTCTTAAATTTTTTTCCATCATATGTAATACATAAAACTAAAAACCTAAACCTACTTCTGTCAAGTCTATCTCAACTCACAGCAACCCTACAGGACAGAATAGATCTGATCCATGGAATTTCTAAGATGGTAAATCTTTATGCACATAGACCTTCACATCTTTCTTCTGCAGAGTGGATGGTACATCTGAACCACTGATCTTTTTGGTTAGCAGCTGACAGCTTTAACCACTGATTACTTGGGCCCCTTATATAATGTATGTTGTTGTTATTATTGTTTTGCCATCGAGTCGGGAACTGACCCATAGTTGATCATCCAGCAAGTTTTCAGAGACTGTACATTCTGCTGTGGAGCAGCTGATGGATTTGAACTGAATGTCTTTGGTTTTGCAGTGCAGCTTCTTACCACTAGGCCATGAGAGAGCTCCCTATGTGCATCAGAAAATTACTCATAGCTAGTCCTTCAGTGGGTTTTCAGAGGCTATAAATCACACTGGATGAGACTGTCCATCTTTGTCCCATGGTTCAGACAGTGGATCTGAAATGTGTACCTTCAGGTTGGGAGCACAAATTTTAACCCACTAGGTCATAAGAACTCTTTTATACAATGTATAGATATAATCTCACAACTCAAAACAAATGGTCTTAATCATGTTGTCAAAAGAAATATATATAAAAAAAAAGAAATATATAAAAGCAGTACATCAGAATTATTATTTTCTACGAAGCATTTGTTGAAAATTGCCATTCTGATCAATTTTCACACTTTGCTATCTGAAATGGATTAGTTAGTCTATGGATTAGTTCTTCTTCTTCATATTGCCAAAAAAAAGCTTCATTTTCTAAGTACTCACCTTGGCCAAATCAAAAGGTGTTTTGACTTCTACGGTTACATCTGGTTCAGCAAGTGTAGGAACTTCTTGTCTGTTTCTTCCTTTCCTCCTAGTTTTCTTTATCTGTTCTCCTGATCGCTGCCCATCTAGAATGTCTTTAAGGCGGAAAAAAAAAATATTTTAAAATTAATTGTTTCTAAAATCAGAATTAAATGTCAGCCAATATTTCCAAGATAGTGGGAAACCATATTGTATTAAGTTGGGTAAAACTGCTATCACGGATCTCTTGAAACAGCTGAAGACTAAAGACATCACTCTAAAGACTAAGGTGGGCCTCATCCAAGCCACAGCATTTTCTACAGTCTCACATGTATGTCAAAGTTGTACAACGTACAAGGAAGATCAAAGAACTAGTGTCTTTGAATTGTGGTGCTGGTGAAAAATACTGAGCAAACCACAAAATGCCAAAAGAACAAATAACTTTGTCTTGGAAGATGTGCGACCAGAATGAGCCTCAAAAGCAAGGATAATGAAACTTTATCTCACATGCTTTGGCATGTTATCTGGAAGGGCTAGGTCCTGGAAAAGGACATCATGTTTAGATAATAAAGGGTCAGTCAAAGAGATGAATACCCTCAGAACTCCAATAATGGGTTTAAGCACAGCAGAGTTTGGGAGGATCTTAGAGGATCAGGTAGGGTTTTCCTCTTTGTACAGGTCCTTAATGAGTCAGAACAAATTTGATGGTACCTGTTACCTTCGAATTGTGGTGCTGGAGAAGAGTCTTGAACATCCCATGGACTGCCAAGAAAACAAATACATCTGTCTTGGAGAGGGTGAAACCAAGTTTCTCCTTGGAGGTTAGGATTTTGAAGCTCCGTCTCACATGTTTTGGGCATGTGGCCAGGAGAGACTGGTCCTTGGAGAAGGACATCATGCTCGGAAGAGTGGAGGGACAATGCAGTGGAGGAAGACCCCAGGTGAGATGGATTAATTACAGTAACTGGGGCAATGGGGGTTGGTCTGTCAGAAATAGTGAGACTGGCTCAGGGCAGGCTTCAGAGTTGCTGTACTTGGGGTCGCTGTGGATCACAGAAGATTCAACGGCACATAACAACAACAATGACAAAAGAACAGGTCTATCTTGGGAAAGGTGCAGGCAGAGTGCTTCTTTGTCTCTCATACTTTGGACATGTTGCTAGGAGAGGCTATTCCTTGGAAAAAGATATCATGCTTGTAAGGGCGAGGAAGACTGCCTATCAAGATAGACTGACATGGTGACTGCAGCAATGGGTGCAAATGTATCAGAGATGGTGAGGGTGGCACAAAAGAGAACAGAGTTCAGGTCTGTTGTTCATACGGTTGCTATGAGTCAGGTCATTATGAGTTGTACTTGACTTGAAGGCAACTAACTGCTGTTACCAACAAACTAAATAAAACCTCATTGCTGTTGAGTTAGAGCTGTGAACTTCAGCAGGTTTCCAGAGGCTGTAAACTGCACTAGAGAAGACTGCCCGTATTTCTCCCAAGAACTAGCTGGTAGATTCGAACCAGCCACCTTTAGTTTAGCAGCTTCAACTGTGCCATCACAGTCCCTAGCAACACAATTCAACTATAAACACTTTTTAAAAAAAGATTAATATTAAAAAATAGAATTAAAATTTTATATTGTAGACTGCACAATAATCTACAGTTAATTATGAGTTAGATCTTTTGGGGTTTTTAGTTTGATGTTCATCTTTTATACTATTTAACTAAATACTAAATATACTATTTAGCTAAGTATTAAAGAATTAAGCCTCTAAATATTACTCATATTTAGTCAGTATTTTACTAATGTCCAGGTATACACATAGCTGAAAAATGTTTAACACCCATACAAAATTTTCAATTTATTCTAAAAAGAAGTATCTTGTGATATTTTTCTAAGTTGAGAAAGTATGAACAAAAGGAAAAAAGTAAAAGTCTGAACTATAACAATAGTTCTAGTGTAGAAGTTTTATTACAATGGTTCATTACATATTGAATGAAACTGAACTGAAAAAAGCCCTTATGTGATTCTATATTAGGAAGCTGTGAAGAAACGCAAGGTGACAGGAAATATGAGGTCTTACAAAGCTGGTACCAAAAGAAATAATATCTCAGTCTTTACTTACCCTCTTTTTTGAAGCACTGCTGCAAAGGATCAGAAATCAACTCTTGATCATTATTTTGCCATTTTAATATGAGGTCTTCTATGAATTGGCCTTTTTTGCCCTCATTTCCCTGGAGGAGGTCAGTAACATATTCTCGTATCTCTTCAGCACTCTCAATTGATAAAACATACCTCAAGAGAAAGATTTAAGGTTTAAAACAATGTTTTTTCAATAATCAGAAGAGGTCAAGCTAGTAAAACCATTTATCTGGTAGTGTTTACTCTGAGTCAATTACTATGTGAGATACTAGGCTTAGTTAAAACGGAATTAGGACAAAGACCCTAATCTCCTATAGTACCTAATGTAATCTTTCTCTAGAATCAAATCATTGTTGTGAAGACAGACTACTGAGGCTGCCCCTGAGATAGCAATCCTATGATTACACTTCTGCAATCATGCATTCTTCTGAATAACAAAATTCTTCATTTCTGTATTGTAAAACCTGAGATTTCTCAATGAATAAACAGCTATGTCTTGGAGAAAGTACAGCCAGAGTACTACTCCTTGCAGGAAAGGATGACAAAGCTTTGTCTCAAAGAGTTTGGACATATTATGAGAGACTGTTCTTTGGAAAGGAACATCATGCTTGAAAAGGTGGAGGGTTGGCTAAAGAAAGACAGACCTTCAACCAGATGGACTGATAGAGTAACTGCTGCAATAGACTCGAGTATGTCAGAAATGAAGATGATGGCATAGGTTAGGACAGAGTTCAGATCTGTTGTTTATAGGGTTGCTATGAATTGTACTCAACAGCGTCTAACAACAACATCAACACAATTAATTACTAATTCTGTGTTTTAAAAAAAATCATAAATAACATCACAGAGGAACAAATTTTAGGGAAATGTTCTAGAGGGTTACATAAAGTGAAACTAAAGTACAAGACAACACAATTTTTCTAGAAATTAGCCAATATATTTCAAATGTCTCAAAAATTGATCCAAGAATTTTATTTCTATTATCTTATATGAAAAAAGCCTTAATGACATAAGTGTTGGGCTGCCAACCCCAAAATGAGCTGTTAGAATACACTAGTCACTCCTTAAGGAGAATTAGTGGCCTAATCCCTAGTGAGTTGCACTGCTAAGCCAAAGGTCACCCCTCTCTAGTGATCTGGATCGTTTAGCTGCTCCAAGGAAGAAATACGCACAATCTACTGTGAGATCTTGAGCCTCTGAAAAGCACTGAAAGTCAGCTACAAGCCTATTTGCCTCCACAGCAATAACTGAGTCAATAACCACTGAGGGAGCTCTGGTGGTTTAGTTCCTAGGTAGTTGTGCTGCTAACCCAAAGGCCAAGCCTCTCCAGCAGTTCAAATCCACAAGCAACTCTGAGGGAGAAAGATGGGAAATCCCTCCTGTGCAATTTACAGCCTCCAAAAACTTGCTGCAGAATCAGCTATAGATAGTTCCACTTGAAGGCAGTAAGTGCCTTTTTATGTGCTGAAAAAGATGGTAAGGTCATATATTAAAATATTACCATTAAACAGTTCATCTTTTTTCCCTACAATGAATGTTTGGAAAATGTGTTACCTTATAACATCCATAGGAAAAAAGGCATGAAGAACATATGGAAATTCATGAAATACTTTCATGTGAAATGTTGAAATGTTATTCTATAGTTAACAGTTTTTAAGTATGACAAGAGAACATACTAATGCAAATAGTGGTTATCTCTGGATTGTGGCATTATGGTAATTTTCATTTTCTCCTTTGCCTTTTTCGGATTTTGTTTTCTACAGTGATTACAACTTAAGATCAGAAAAAGTAATAAAAAATTGTAATCCAGATGCACTGGTACAAGAAGTAACAAAAAATATCATAATAATATTAAACTTTTATTAATGTCGCATTACATTTTCAGATTTGACAAAAATATGTGTCTCTCAGCCTCATTAAGAGTTTACTCAAAGCTACCATACTTTCTTAAAAAAAAGGTTTTAACTTTTGCATTGACGTTGTTGTTGAGATTGCCTTCGAGTCGAGCATGATTCATAGCAACCCTATGAACAAAAGGCTTAAAGCCCCTTTACATCTATCAACATTTATCAAAGTTCATAGAGTTTCCAGAGGCATGTTATTTAGGAAGTGGATGCCACTCCTAGTAATTTACCCAGATTATACTGTAAATAGTTTACAAATTCAGCTGCTAACCAGAAGGCTGGAAGTTTGAGTCTACTCAGAAGTACCTTTGAAGAAAGGCCTGCTTATTTAGAGAAAACGCTTCTACTCAGACACAGGTGGGATCAGAATTGGTTCAGTGCAGCTGGTTTACTGATATCAAAGGCTCACAGAGCTGAAACAGAGTAGGGGGAGCCTCAAGACATTATTTAGCCTGAGAATTTTTAAATCACCAATGACAAGCTTCAAGAATTCCAAAAATATTTTATTAAACTTCATCTGACACTATAGTAAAGGCACATTCATCTAAATGTTATATGCCAACTATTACAAAATGGAGTCAACTATAATTTATGCAGACTTCAAAATAACATGTACTTAGCTAACTCCATGTACAGATCTCCAATGTCTTATAAATAAATGTATCAGTGATTAGGAAGGTAGTAGCTCTGGACTACCTTTTTTTCTTTTTCTTTTTTATTTTGGCCTATTTGTGGCTACTCAAATGAAATTTTTCAAGCTAATAAACTACAAACATCAGGCAGGTTCACCAATTTCCACAGCAAATGCTTTCATCCTATCATAATAACTTCTTGTGTAAAAACTAGTAAACATTTAATAAGTGGTTCAAACAGGATTACATCATAGGTAATTTTAGTGCTTAAGTTTTGGGTACTTCTGGTTGAACTTAACATTGAGAAGACTGTATCTAGCATTCACATTCCATTTCAAATTGTTGATAAAAAAATAAGTACTGTTTTTAAAATGAATGACTGATATAAATTCAAATAAAACCACTTTTTGTATTTTACTTGTTTCAAATTCTCATCATTTCACCTGAAAGCATTCTTACTTTAATAAAGTTTGAATGCAACTTACTTAACTTCATTTTGCCTTTAAGGAAAGGTGAAGCCAAATCATATTTTTACTGCCTTTTTCTTTCTTTTTAGCATTTTCCAGTGGTTTTGTTTTTAAACCCTCCTCTAAAATAGGTTCTCTTTCTCCTTGCAACAGAAAACTCATCTGACTTGCTAGAAAAGGCTTAGATGTCTAGATAAATTGAAATAACAGCAATTTAATTTCTACCACCAGGGTTCAATTCGTTGATTTAAAATTTATAGTAAGCCTCATCTTTTTAGAAGTTTTTCCCTGTCCAAATACTCTGCATACCACCTACTTCATCCATTAGTTCTAAAAGTGAAGTCATGACTTTTTCTAAATTTCTGGTCTTAATGCTATTGTTGTGTGTCATCTAGGTAGAACCAACCCGTAGTTGACCCTCACCCATAGCTGACCCTCCAGCCCATTTTCACAGTTAGTAAATTCTTTCTTCCAAGGAGCACCTGATAGATTCGAATAGTTTACCTTTGCATTGACAGCACAATTCCTTACCATTAAATTAAGCCACCACTAAGCCTCTTGTTGTTGCTGTTGCTGTATACCATCGAGTTGGAACCCACCCATAGGTGATGCTCCAGAAGGATTTCAGAGGCAGTTAACTGTACATGAGATTGCCCATCCTTTTGTGGAGCAGCTGGTGGATTTGAACCTGCTGTCTTTGGGACTGCAGTGCAGTTTCTTACCACTAGGCCACCAGAGTGGCATCTCTCATTTGCTGCTGTGTACCATAGAGTACCATTCTCCTCAAGGTTAGCCACTATTTATTGTGATCCACACAGTCAAATGCCTTTGCACAGTCAATGAAACACAGATTAGACATTCCTCTAGTACTCTGCTTTCTGCCACTATCCGTCTGACAATGTCTCTAGGGCCATGACCTTTTCTAAACCTAGCTTGTATTTCTAGTAGTTCTCTGCTGATGGACTGTTCCAGTTGTTTTTGGATAATCTTCAGTAGGATTTTGCTTGCATGTGATATTACTGATATTGCTCAATAATTGACACATTCTTGTCAGGTCACCTCTTTCTGGAATGGGAATAAATAAGGATCTCTTCCAGTCAAGTGGCCAGGTAGCTGTCCTTCAGATTTCTTGGCATAACCCGGTGAGCACATCCAGGGCAGCACTTGTTGAAATATGTCAATTGGTATTCCATCAGTTCATGGGGCCTTATTTTTTGTCATCCTTCAGAGCTGCCTGCACTTCCTCCTTCATCACCACTGCCTCTTGATCATGTTGTTTCCTTAAATTCTTCTGTGTCAACCAATTCTTTTTGGTATACTTCTTCCATCTTCATTTAATGCTTTCTGGATCACTCAATATTCTACCCATAGCATCCTTATGAGAATGGGAATCCAGAACACCTGATTGTGCTCATGCAAAACCTATACTCAGACCAGGAAGCAATCCTCAGACCAGAGCAAGGAAACCTGCATGGTTCAAAATCACAAAAGGAGTGCCTCAGGGATGCGTTCTATTACCATACTTTTTCAATCTATATGCAGAACAGATACTTTGGGAGGCTGGGCTTTATGAAGAGAATTGTGGCATCAAGACTGGAGGAAGACTCTTTAACAACCCGGGTTATGCAGATGACACAACCTTGCCTCATGAAAGTGAGGAGGACCTGAAGCGCTTGCTGCAGAGGGTCAAGGACTGTAGTCTGCAGTATGGACTGAAGCTCCAAATCAAGGAAACAAAGATTCTCATCACTGGTGCAACTGGCAGCACCATGACTAGATGGCACATAACAACAAGAACCATATAGTCGGAAATGACCCATAGCTGACCCTCTCGCAGAGATTCAGAGGCAGTTAATCACATGAGAGAATGCCCATCCTTCTCCTGCAGAGCAGCTGGTGGCCTCAACATTTAAGAGATCTTTATTCTGTGCTCCCACAACAACTACCAGTTCCCCCAGCAAAAAGGCAAAATCCAAAAGTATAGTCAATGTGGTCCTAACATCTTGTAACAATATATGTTAAGTCAAATGAAAGCAAGTGTTAAATCAAGTTCACCATCTCCATTTCCTAAGAATCAATGTCTTAGTGACAAGTTTTGTTATTCATTTTATCGATGACAAATCTAAAGAAAATGTAAATTGCCCAAGGTTCCAAAGCTGGTAAATTACAAGAGATAATAAAGCTCCTGAGTCAAGAGCTATTAGCACTGTACAAGGCTCCCCCTTCCTAATTTCTATACGACACAACTAAGAAGGACTAAACTAAAACGTCTCGTAAGGAATGTTGGGAACCACCAATTGGTTGTGCCTTTTATTCAAAGAATACATAAGGAAACTGGTTCCCGAGATTGTCTTACTAGTTGTCAGGGATTCTAGCGTTTTTCTAGGGAAGAAATGGTTCTATTGATGAAATGTGGCGCTTCACAACCTATTCTATACTACAAATCTAAACTGTATTCTGTATTACAACCTAAACTATAAAGCCAGAGGCCAAAATCGGGTTCCCTTTATCACATTTCTTCACACTCATCAACTATTCAATCCACCACGTATCCCCATTCTGCCAGATCTCTGCTGGAACTCTGTCAGTGCATATTCCATCCTTCCCGCCTCAGGCCCGAACCAGTCTCACTGCATGATCTCCTCGCTGACATCCAGGCCGAAAGTTTTCCGCAACTCCTGGGTGCACCAGAGAACCAACTGCTCCCGAAACACCGCCCCTGCCACCGCCATCTTTCCGAGCCGGAACCACCCGGCTGCCAAAACCCTGCGTACTGCGCCGGACTAGTTCCCTAGGCAACACCACCCAGTCCGCCAAAGTTCCGCGAGTAGCGCGATACTCGGCATTGTCTCTACGCCTCCTCGTCTTCCGTGTTTGTAAACGCTCGTCCACGCCGGCTCTGTTCGCTCGTGATTTGCTAAAGTCAAATGCTGGATTCAAGGAATGCCATTAGAAGTTCTGCAGAGAAGAGAAAGCAGATCTTTCTTACGAAAAGTAAAGTTCAGAAGGGAAAAATATTCTGGGTCGACAAAAGGACCTGGACTGAAAGGCTAGCTTTAAATTGCTTTGACTTTATGTGAAACATTTTAAAAGCACTAGTTGGCCAAAGTAAGTGCCATAAATATTTGCTTTGGTGGTGATTGTTACTAATAACTGCATGTATGCTAATACTAGAAGCCCTGGTGGTGCTGGACTGCTAACCAAGTTGTTCCTGCTGCTGCTTTGTTAGGTGCAGTCAAATCCAGTACGACTCCTAACGACCTTATGAACAATAGACCTGAACTCTGTCCTGTCCTGTGCCATCCTCATCAACTCTAACACACTTCAGCGCATTGCTGTAGTCATTGTGTCAATCCATCTCGTTAAGGGTATTCCTTTCCTTCATCAACCTTCCACCTTTCCACACATTATGTCCCCCTCCAAGTAATAGCTTCTCCTAGGAACATGTGCAAAGAATGAGACTTGAATTTTTGCAATATTTTCTTTCAAAGAGCACTCTAGTTGTACTTTCTCCATGAAATAACTGAATGTTCTTTTGCAGTCCATAGGATATTCAGTACACCTCTCCAATACCACAACACAAAGGCATCATTTCTTCTATCATCCTTATTCATTGTCCAGCCCTTGGATGCATAACAAATGATTGAAAAGACCATGACCTGAATCAGGCACACTTTAGTCTTCAGATTGACATCCTTGCTCTTCAGGACCTTGGAGAGATCCCTGACCTCTGATATGACCAATGGAACATACCTCCTGATACCAAGGATCCAAGTAAGATGAAATCATTGAAAACGTCAATCCTTTCTCCATTTAATATGATGTTGCCTATTGGGCCAGTGGTGAGGATTTTTGTCTTTTTGATGTTGCAATGCAATCCATATTGAAGCTGCAATGCTTGATCTTTGGCAGCAAGTGTTTCAAATCTTCACTTTGAGCAAGCAAGGTGTGTCATCTAAATAAACACAGTTGTTGATGAGTCTTCCTCTGACCTTAATGCCACATTCCTCTTCATATAGTCCAGCTTCACTAATTACTTGCTTAGCATACAGACTGATTAAGTCTAGAGAAAGGATTCATCCTTGGCACACACAATCCTGATTTTAAATCATGCAATATTTCTTGTTCTGTTCACACAGTTTCTTGGTCTAAGTATAGGTTTTGTATGAGCATAATTTAGTGTTCTAGGATTTCCATTCTTCTCAGTGTTTGTTGTGATCCAATCAAATGCCTTTGCATAGTCAATAAAACACAAATAGGCATTCTTCTGATAGTCTCTGCTTTTGGCCAGGATCTATTTGACATCAGCAATGATATCCTTGGTACAGCAGCCTCTTCTAAACTCCTCTTGAACTTCTGGCAGTTCCCTGCTAATGTACGGGTCTAACTGTTTTTGGATTATCTCCAGCAGTATTATGCTTCCATGTGACATCAATTATATTGTTCAATAAATTCTGTGTTCTGTTGGATCACCTTTCTTGGAAATTGGAACAATATGGCTCTCTTCTAGTCAGTTTTCCAAGCAGCCGTCCTCCAAGTTTCCCGGCATAGACTGATGAGCCCATCCACAGTTGCATCTTTTAGTTGAAACATATCAATTGTTATCACATCAGTTCCTGGAGCCTTATTTTTCTGCCAATAACTTCAATGCAGCTTGAACCTCTTCTGTTATTACTTTTGGTTCTTGTTCATATGGTAGTTTCTGGGATTTTTCATCTCAGACCATTCTTTCATTCTTTTTGGTGCAGTGACTCTATGCATTCCTTCCTTCCATCTTCCTTTTTTTTTTTTGAGGGTAAAGCGGTAAAGGTAGATTTATTAGAAAGTTACATCCCCAAAAGAATGAACTTCCCTCCTTGAAAGGAAATATGGAGGAGAGAGGCCTTCTTCCATCATTTTTGGTACTTACTGTATCATTCAGGATCTTGTCCATAGCATCTCTTAGTATTCCAACTCAAAGCTTGAAATTTTTTTTTCAGTTCTTCTAGTTTAAGAATTGCTGAGCAAGTTCTTCCTTTCTTATTCTCAGACAATAGCTCTTTGCACATTTAATGTTTTGCTTTGTTTTCTTGAGCTATTGCCCTTTAAACTCACTAGCAGATCTGCAGGGGAAAAGATGTGGCAGTCCGCTTTCATAAAAATTTCCAAAAACCCTGTGGGGAAAACCTACTGACTGGGGAAAAAAACACTTGGCAATATCATTTTAGACAAGCGTATCATATCAAAAGTTTACAGAATCCTACAGGGCCTCCACAAGAAAAGACTGATAACACGATTACAAAATGGGGGGGAGGGCACGGAAAGACTTCACAGAGGAAGATATTAAAATGGCCAACAGACACATGAAGGAAAGTTCAAAATCACTGGCAATAAGATGCAAATCAAAACCACAATGAGATAGCATCTCCCTGGAGTAGCAGTGGCAAAGAGTAACAGGAGAGCAAGTAAGAAATGTTGGAGAGAATGTGGCGAGATAGGATAGGAATTTAAACACTGTTGGTGGGATTGTAAAATGGTACAAGCACTCTGGAAGGCAGTTTGGCATTTCCTCAGAAAGCTGAACATAGAAATTCCATATGACCCAGCTATTTCCCTGCTTGGAATATACCTTGAGAAAATGAGAACTGAGGCACAAACAGAGACTTGTACACCAATGTTAATGGAAGTGTTTTTAACCATCACAAGAACATGGAAACAGCCCAGATGTTCAACCACAATCGAGTGGATTGAGAAATTATGATACATTCATGTGATAGAATACTATACAGCATGCAAGAGCAACGATTTTGAAAATTACTACCCAATTTAGGCAGGACCAGAGAGCATTATGCTGAGTGAAATAACTCAGTCCCTTAAGGAAAAACACTGTATAGAACCATTATTGTAGAATGTATATAAGGATCCAAGGGGGGAGAATGGGAGCAGAAGCATGAGGATGGGCGAGGGGTGTGTGTGTGAATCATAGGGTTGCAAAATTTGATGGGTGGAGAGAGAGGTGGGTAAAGGAAAGGGGAAAGATTAAATGTGAAAAACAATGTATACAAACTTTGTGGGTTTTGTAAATTTTATTTTATTATTTTGTTTGTGTGTGTAGCATCATATCAGATGTGACTGGAGGAGATTGTCCCTCCTTCTCCAGAGAGCATCTGGTGGATTCAAACCATGCTCCTCTGGGATTGCAGTGCAGCTTCTTGCCACTAGGCCAACAGAGCTCCCTACAATGTATACAAACTTTGTAAGTAAACCAGTATAAAATAAAAATTTGGTTTAAAAAGTAATAAGCATAGATCAATAGTAATTTATTCTATACAATCCGATGTATATGACTGAGTTTATGAAACACAATGTAAATGAAAGATTGTATAAAACATAATGTACATTTAAAAAGCAAACCAAAACAAAACAAATCCTTATGGGACAGTTCTGCTCTTTCCTATAGGGTCCCTGTTAGTCAGACTCAGCTGGCAAAAAGTTGTTATGTAATCTAATATTAGATTGGTACTGCTAAATCTTTTCCACGAGGGTTAAGAAAATTCACCAAGCTCAAGGTGGGGAAAACACTTTAATAAAATAGGTACTGATAATAAACTCTGAAGAACTTTCAAATGAGTGATTTTAATAAGTGCAAAGTGACCAGATTTAAAAGTTTTATGCCATGACAACATTGCAGAATAAGAGATGCATCGCAAAGTGAACTGGGGAAGGTAGGGAGGGAAGGAAATTGTGTAACAGTGAAAGAATCTTTTTACAAAGAAAAGTAAACTGAGGAGGGGTAGGGAGGAAAATGTGCAACAATGAATAAATGGAAATCCAAGTTTTTTTGTAAACTTTCATTACAATATCAATAAAATAACAACAACAAAGTTTTCTGCAACTTCATAACTCCCTGGAATATTTTAGTAATGAGGAAATTTTAGTAGAGCATGATATCATCTGAGTCATTGTAATTGTCTAATTTTGCTTTGCTTTCATAGGTTAAAAGTTCTTTAGTATCAAGCTGTTTACATTAAGTTGTTTTTTGGTGAATTGAGACTATTATGAGACTCATAGCAGTCCAGTGAAGGACAGATCACAACCTTATCCTATCCTGTGCCATCCTCACAATCTTCACTGTCTTCAAGCCCATTGTTATAGTCACTGTGTAGAGCCCTCTCTTGAGGTCTTCCTCCGCTTCGGTGACTTCTACTTTTCCAAGTAAGAAGTCCTCCTCTTTTTCTCTGACCTTCCACATAGCCCAGCATAATGTCTTTTTCTAAGAACTGGACCCTTTTGACAACATGTCAAAAGTAAGGATGATGATGCATGGTAGCGCAAGGTTCAGAGCTATTGTTAGTAGGGTCACTATGAGTTTTAGTTGACTTGATGGCACCTAAAAAACCACCACAACAAGGTTCCTTTTTAATCCCTAGAACAAAACTATTAACTTCTTGAAGATAGACTTGGCCTTAAATTTTTTTGTACTCTAAGATTTTGCACACATTTATTATGATAAAATGATTTGTTCCTTAAATATCATATTGTTGTTGTAATTATGTGCCATTGAGTCAACTTTGAGTCATAGGAACTCTGTGCACAAGTTGTAGTCAACTCAATAGCACATAACATCAACAACATTTTTAAAATGCCATGCACAATCATGACATTAAAATAATCCCTTATTAAAATACATTTTATGTGAACAACACAATTGCAAGTATTTAACATGATTTAAAAATATTCCTTATTATGAAACTAAGGAGAAGTTTTATTCACAAATACTACAAACTTTTTTCAGGTTCACACTTACACATCTAATTCCCTGTATTTCATTTAACTGTAAAGAAGTTTTGAAAAACAAACTTAAATTGTAGGTTTTAAAATAAATTGCACTTTTTTTTTCCTTCTAACGTATCTTTGTAAACATGTAGAAAGAATGGGTGCTTCAATCTCAAAGGCACGTGGTTTGAATCCACCAGCTGCTCTGCAGGAGAAGAATGGGCAGTCTCCTCCCATGTGAATACTGCCTCTGAAAACCTGTTCAAAGGTCAACTATGAGTTGGTTCTGACTCGGCCATACACAACAACAAACAGTACAGCTATAGCAAGAGGTAGACTGCCATTGTGCACAAGGATGTATTTATTTGTAGTTCTAGTAATTTAATTGGCAAATAAACTGGGAGAAAAGGCTAGATAGAGATTCTCTAAAGTTCCAGTCTTTGCAAAAATCTGAGATGTGAACTTAATTCAGAACAACGTAGCAACCATTTTAACTGAAAAGGAAACTATGCATATTGAGTACTCCTGTAGATGGGCCATGAAGACCAAGACCAAAGGAATACCCTGGGACTTGTTGCTTTTTCTGATGGAAATTTACCTGTAATCTTAAAACACTCCAGTGTTAAGACATAACTTCAGTTATTTTTCAGTTTGTTTTCTACTGTTATGATGTTAAGTTAACCTGTTGTCTAAGTCCTTTGTAAATAAAGTAGTTGTTGATTCCAGTTAAAGTAGCACTGAGTACTTTACTACAGTTATTAGCCTATTTTCTGACAAAGTTCAAGCATAATTTATTGGAAAGAATCATTGCTCCAGTTAGGCTTTCAGGATTGTCTTTAAAGTTGAAGAGAAAATATCTTTAGGGTCTGGATTGGATGATACCAATGGATGAAAATGACTCCTCCGGAATACTATGCGGAATTAGAAAACAGACACATGGATAGAAAACAGGAGCTCCTATTCTGCAGTTAGGTTTGCTCTGAATCAAGGATGTAGGTCTGCGTGATTTTTAAATCTGAGAAGATTTTAAGCTATACAAATCTAGAGAAAACATGTTATTAATTTCATATCTATCTATCTATCTATCTATCTATCTATCTCCCAATTTTCTTCTGAGTCTCTCACTATATTAAGAATATTTTTTAAACACCCCTAGAAGTGAAATGTATTCGTTTTCTTTTTCTTCCACTCCACAGAACGTATTAGTATGGACTGAGCTCTTGACCAAGTAATCAACGAAAAGATACCTTTTTTCCATTAATTTTATTTGTATTTTAAAAATTCGCTTAGTTTCATTCAGTTCCCTTAGAAGCCAATTGGTTGAACCTTTTAGTAACTTTTGGGGAAACGCTGGAATTCTTTGTTTTGTCGCCAATTTTTTTTTTTCTTTCTTTTCTAAGCAGGGACTTTTCTCGGGTTCAGAACTTCAACACCCACACATTGGGCACCTTTCAGGTACCACCCATCGTGGGCGGCTACAAATCACAAGTCTCTCAGAGTTGATAGACAGATTTGCACTACGTAGACTCTTGCTGCTGTCACGGCTAACACTGCCGATTGGTCCAGAGAGAGCGATGTGGAACCAATGTGAGCAGTGGCACAGGAGCCTCTGGAGAGCGCGGGAAGGAGACCAATATAAAGGGTGGCGGGAGATTCGTTTTAGGGCCCTTGTTGCAAGAAACATCTTGTGCTGGGAAATCTGCTCGTTATTTTTTTCTTTCTTATCTATTTGGGATTCAACATGGTGCGGACTAAAGCAGACAGTCTTGCAGGCTCCTATCGAAAAGGTAAGGCAGTTGGGCGTGGTAGTGGAAGACTGAGTATCCGTGAGAAGTCCGGCCGCGGGTGTGTGTGTGTGTGTGTGTG